CCCCCCCCCCCCCCCCTTATTTCTCTCTTCTTCTTGGCATTCTACAAAAAAATAATTTACAAAAACTCAAACTTGCTTCCTCATCTTCTTAAGAGTTTGTGTTTAATGCTGAAATAAAGTGGTTTATGATACACTTTTCAATCTTGTAACCAAGGTCATAACCTGATGAATATTTTAAGCTCTGTTTCTTATGTAGTGTCAAGGAACAGCACACGTGTTCATACAACCTATAGGTTATGATATAGACAACAGTTTTGAAGAAAATGTTTTATGGCGTATGCCTGCGCAAATTTTCATAACTCTGTCTTGTTGCTACTCATTTATAAAGGCGAAAATCTACTCTTAGCAAATGAAATAAATAACATAAACATAAGAGTGCATTTAGTTGTAAGACATAAGTAGAAAATGCAAGTTACTGTTTTCAAATACCCTTGAATTTCTTTAAATACACAATCAAATATCAAGAGATATTTTAAATAACTGTTATAGACCTGAAACGACATGTCTGTTGTATACAATGAACATTTTAATTGGTAAGTCTCTTCTATATGAACTTTATAAATATTGTTTCAGACTTTATAATTCACCTATAACTTACACGTAGAAATGGAACTCACTATTATCCGTTAAGGACCCGATATGAGTATAATTTAGTAATTGTTTTGAAAGACGAAACGATTGATCGGAGAAATATGCATTAGGCTTGTCACACCCTTCCAAGTTTGTGTTTAATCTGAGTGCCTCATATAAAAAATGGAAAAACGTTAAGTCTTTTATATACGAAAGGAAATTTTCATACTCTGGAAGAATAACCATTCTAGACACTGAAGCTTACAGTTGTACAGGTCAGGACATAATTTGTTTTCTGTCACATCAAAACGCTGAGGAAGGGGTTATAACCCCAGTCTGTGTCTACGTTAGCAATCGAAATTGTTACAGCAAACCGTGTAAGAAGGACACTGAAAAGCCAAAGGAAGAGAAATGATAAGACGAAGAAGACGGATAAAGATAAAGTGTGACAATAAAAGGAGGTAAAATGAGATG